CGGCTGCCCCGACTACGCCATGCTCTCCTTCATGGGCAGCTTCCACGGAAGGACCCTGGGTAAGAAAAGCCGTGCCGGCAACACCTCCCCTTCCTCTGCCTCCTCTCAGCTGCTGCAGTAAGCTGTCATCTCACTGTCGTTTCTGAAAAGTGGGCTTTTTTTCTCCTTAGACAAGTAGTACCAGTGGAGAAGCTGTAGGTTTATTGAAGGTTTGCCTTGGGAGCCCCACCAGTACTGAAACAGAATATTTGAGTGACAGTAGGAACGAATTTTATATTTTTTTCAAAATTTATTTTCAAGTGGTCTCTTATTTTCATTCTGAATCCCCAGATTTCCTGTCTATACTAGTAAAAATCTAACTCCTGGGGTGAAATCACAATATATAAACAAGATGTCACTCATTTTTACCATTTTGTATTGGCTCAATCCCTGTTCTAAACATTATCCAAGAGTGGTGTAATTCTGAGCTTTGTGAGCAGTTGTCTTTGGACAGGTGAAACCCATCTTGTCTGAGCAACATGTTCAGATTGACAGAGGTTCTCCTTCTGGAACAGTGCATGTGGAATCTGATGCTTAAAAACTAGAGAAATATACTTAAGCTTGACTAAATCCAATTACCCAGTATTTCAGAAAATAAAGTAAAAACGTAGAGCAGTTAAGAGAATTCTACAGTCCTGGCGTCAGGCAATTTGTCACCTCTTGGTAGCTTTTTTTCCTGTATTGTTCCTAGACAGGTATTACTTTAATTTTTGCTTTTCTGGGTTTAGGTTGCTTAGCTACAACTCACTCTAAAGCAATTCACAAATTGGACATTCCATCGCTGGACTGGCCTATTGCTCCATTTCCAAGGCTAAAGTATCCTCTGGAAGACTTTGTGAAGGAGAATCAGCAGAATTTAGAGGAGGTAAAAAATTCACTGGCAGCTTTCTGTTGGTTGTGTTTTGAAATAATGAATAGTGTTAGTAGGATTAGCCGCACTTGGAACAGCATGTGATTAAAACAGCATTCAGTGTTGTTTACGGTTAGAAGTTTGTCGCTGCCTTTCAGAAGAAGAGGCAGCTTACTGTGAATTAGAGGTCTACGTGAATCATACCAAAGTGAAATTTCACACACAGAAGTTTGTTGTATCACCCTGAACTTGTCTGCCAGATCTTGCAAACGGACACGGACTAAGAGAGAGCACAGTGTGTATAATCCTTTGCAAAGGGAACATGTAACAGTATTTTGGGTTTTTTCAGTTCTTCTGTGTTAGCTGCCTGGCATAAAGCGCTGATCCTACCTCTGGCTGCAGGGAGTGAGTGGGCAGGGAGTCTGTGCCTCCCCTGGCCCAGGAGAAAGGAAAGGTGGGCAGAACAGGGTTTAAGGGAGGAAAACTGTCTCCAGGTACCAGAACCATGGGATTCCCTGTTGGGCTCACTGGGATCCAGGATCTGTCAGTTGCAAGGGCTCACTCTTGAGAGACAGCGGTGGGGACCAAGGCGTAGCGTGGCCCGTGGCCGGAACTGAAACGGGGCCCAATTTGGAGCATCATAACCGAGCACAGAGGAGGGGCTGTGGTGTGCCGAATGGAGCGCAGCGGCACTCTGGGTGGCTCTGCAGAGCTGGATCACAGACACGTCTTATTCAAACCTGCCTAATTTCAGAGAAGATGGAAAGCATAGCAAATTGCTTCCTTGTGTTGCTTGAGGTGGGGAAATTGTGATGCAAAAAATCAATCCACAGACTCGAAGCTGTTATTTAAAACAAAACAAAACAAAACCACCACAAAACAAAACCAAAAAAACCCACAAAATAAAAAGCCAAACACTTTCTTTGAAGGTCTGCAGATTGGCTTACTGGCACTCTTTGGAAACTGCTGCTTTATATGGCCAACATGTGTCGTGGGCCCTGAATGCTGTAAGGGATATTTCAAGTACAAATGACACTACTAATCACAGCAACTGGCACTACGAGGTTAATTAAAACTTCTCTGTAAGCCCTTTATCAGCAACAGATTTCTGCATTATTTCATCTGATTAATTTTAAAGTATTTGAAGTGGGTGACTAGAAAAAGCAAATTTACCAGATTACCTTCTTTAATACTTTAGCTGAGTTTTGTTTTCTGACACAAAATCTGTTCTCATCTGTATTGCTTAGGCGGCATGCCAGCAATGGCATAGCATGCTGCAGTGTTGTCCACCATAGTTTCAGCTGAAATTTGCTAGAGGTTTCACACCATTGTAGATAAACATGCAACTAGTTAGAATGTGTTTAGGATATGTTTTAAACTTAAGTGTTACTCAGGAACTAGAAAGCAGTGTTAAATGCCGGAGGAAGTACTTGTTAATTCCTTGCGCTTCCTGACACCTTCACAGCCAGGAATGTCTATGAAAAGTTGAAGTTCTGTTGCTGATATGTAGTCCTTCTGGGAGGAAATGTGCGGATGTCCTGAAAGGAGAATGTACCATAAATGTTTGATTTACAGGTGGAAGACCTGATTGTAAAGTACAGGAAAAAGAAGAAGATTGTGGCTGGAATCATTATAGAACCAATACAGTCAGAGGGTGGAGACAATCATGCTTCAGATGACTTCTTCAGAAAGCTACGAGATATTGCCAGAAAGGTAATAAAAATATTTCGCTGTTCACTCAGTGGTAGCTAAATGTGCAAATACTTCTTGGTGTCTCCAGAGGCCTTTCCCCCTGCCCCAGGCACTTTGAGAGCTTCACAGGCCTCCCTAGTAGCAGCTGGGGTAGTTCTGTCACGTACTCAGATACAGGCAACCCCTTGTCAGCGCAGTATTTTATTTTCCTTTCGATGCACACCTAGTGCTTTCCTCAGTCCAATAAATTTTCTTCTAATGTCTAAGCGAGAGAGAAATTACTCCGATTCATTAACTATGGATTTTGCAGTACTGTTCTTTAAATAATGCCAATTTGTTGAGGGAGGTTCAAACAATTTCAGAAGAGGCAGGTTTGCAAAAGGGTATTTTTTGGTTGACATACTTGTTTTTAATTGCAAAAAAAGCTGGAACTCAAATTGAGTCCAACCATAGCACTGATGTTCCAATAAAACAGTGAAAAGGACACATGTCTTGATACTCGGAATGTGAAGTTACCCGTTTAAAAGTGATGACCCTCACCAGGACCTACTCCATGCTTTTTTCACCCTCAAAACATTTGTGTGCTTACAAAGAAGAGCATAGGGGACATTCGGAAAATTCTGTTCCGCCATGAGAAAAAGCAGCTTTTCCCATTGTTAACAGCTGCTGATGCCAGGGTGATGTAGTAAATAAGGTGAAATGAAAAGGTTTGCCTTGTCTGAAATGAGATGCTGCCAAAAGTACTTACCAATTTTTTTTAATTACAGTATTGTGATAGAACTTGATGTCCCTGTCCCAAAAATTTCAATAAAATAGTCCTTCACATAAAAAACCCCACGTCACCAGCTAAAATGAGTAGCTCTTTCAGCAGACTCATCTGAAAAGGCAGCTCTTCCAGGATCATGTCAGGCCCCTGGACTGAACAGATCATGCTGCTGGTATTGCCTTTGTGCCACAAATGCCTGACTCAGAGGGGAGGCAGAGACTTCTTGTTTAAAACAACCAGAACTCCTAGAAATGATGTTCTACTTCCCTCAGGGGCTTTTAAAAATGCCACCCAGGCTCCTCCCCGATGTTTTCAGGTATCTTCTAGAAATGTTCAAGACTATATAAAAATATGTACTTTGTGAATTTAGGTAGAAAATAGGTTTCTAGTGACTTTCTGAAAAAATAGCTGAATTTTTAATTGCGAAATCTAACGCACGGTGAGCGACATTGGTACGGGGGTTGAGGAGGGGAGATTTGGAGCGGTGAAGGGAGAGGAAGGAGGGATGTTGCAGGTAATTGGCTTGTACCTATCTGTTCACTAAGGGAGGTGTTTCTGTTCTGGAAACGAGGGCTCACATTCTCTGCTCTTTACGTCTGTCTCTGCAGCATGGCTGTGCATTCTTGGTGGATGAGGTGCAGACGGGAGGCGGCTGCACAGGAAAATTCTGGGCACATGAGCATTGGGGCCTGGATGATCCAGCTGATGTGGTAACATTCAGTAAGAAGATGATGACAGGAGGATTTTTCCACAAAGAGGAGTTCAGGCCAAATGCTGTAAGATTTGCAATGAAACTTGAACTCTGTGCTAGTTGGTGACCCGTTGATGAGTAACTGTAATGTCTGCGGAAGAGACAAGCTTTCCTTCAGTAATGCAGGCTCAGCTAGATGGAGCTGCTGTTTCATAGATACTTGCTCTGTGCTTACACAAAAGTTCTTGTCACTTCACTTTTATTCCAGTTGCTGTCAGTCACAAAGGTCATAAAGCTGGGGGGAGGGAGTGGAGAACTCGGTTTAGCCTAATGATCTAACCTTCAGCACAAAATCCAACCGATAACTGACACCTTTGTCCGTAGGGCAACTCGGTATCATCAGAGCTTGCATGTCAGCATTATGGGTTCTGTCAGCAAGATTGTCGTCTTTGCATTAATGACACTTTAGATATATTACACGAAAAAAGAATTAAGGGGGAGAACATAAAGCTTGAATGTAAAACTCATCTAGATATGATGCTGATGATCTGTAGCTATGTTTCAATGAGATGTCAGAGCAGCAAGACAGAATGCACTAAATCTGTAGCATAAAGTAATTGTCCTTTGTTTCTGCTCAGCAGGGCAGCTGTATTTTGCTCTTGCAACAAAAAAAAGGAGTTAGTGATATTAGTGCATGCTTTTTCATACACCAGGTGTTTGCATTACCAGTTTGATGGCTTGCATTTCTTTATTATTTTTATTTTATTTTTTATTATTTGCCTGTTAACATGTTCCACAACTCT